TTCTTCGACAAGTGGTTTTTCTTTTTCGTACCGAGTAATGAAATAAAATCGATTACTGAACGGAAATGAGGCAAAGGTTTCCAGTAGGTAACCAGTACTCACAAAATATTATATAGGAAAATGAATGTGGTCTACTAAGTGTATGAAGTGGTTGTATATTAGTTACCAGCACTAGTAGTCGATGTTCAAGATCAAGTGGAGACATGAAAATGTACATTGATTTTTAAAAGCGATTTAATTTTCTTTGATTTATCTTTGTAACGGGATTAAGTCAACAGCCATTCACCTGTCACATAACAAAGTAGTTGCCTTTAATAGTCTCAACAGAATAGGCATTTCAGTAAAGATATTAAAAAGAACAGGATTTTGAATGCTGATTTTCTAGGTCAACTTAATGGATATAATCAAGAAGATTATTTTTCTTTTTCCCAATATCTTCTGAGCACATTCACCTTCCATTGGCTATTCTTATATACCGTATTTCCCCATGTATAATACACCTTTATCTATGATACGCACACCTAAAATTGTGCAGAAAGTGTGGGAAAATGCTTCTACTCATGCATAATACGCAACCCTTGTTTCGTAATCAAACCGTATAAACTATACCTCTCCAATTTTATTACTGCTGGCGTTTCCTACCCTTATTTAAAAAAATGGTTTTAAACATAGAATAATATTATTCTAATTTGCTTTGTACGATAATTCTTATTTTATTTTAGGGCAATTTTTAAAGATTTTTTGTAGCTGTGCATAATGCGCATCCCTGATTTTGCTTATTAATTTTTTAGAAGAAAATCTTATATACATGGGGAATTACGGTAATCCTTAGCAGGTACAGAGAGTTGCATTACGAATTGTATTTATTTAGTGCTGTTCAACTGTCAGGTTTTCACGCATCACTGGGTGCCGTGTTGGTTTTTTTTCAACTATCCCCTTTTTATGCTTCAGCTTGTGATATCGCAGCCTTTTTATGTTTTTGATATATATATATATATATATATATATATATATATATATATATATATATATATCACAACGTTTCGGCCGTTGTACGCTCCGGCCTTGTTCAGGTGGTTGGAATTTCGAACTGAACACTTTATTTCGCTCATATTGCAATTTTGCTGTTATCATTACATGTTTTTACCAGAGCTCATATTGCAACTTTGTTGTTATCATTGCTTTTCTCTGGCACTCCTTATTACTGGTTCCCATATTGTATTTATTTCTAACGACGAAACGTTGTGATAAATATGGCGACAAAGATGAGGACAGTAGTCCGAATAATGTAAATAATGTACATAATACCTCATCTCAGAAATATAGACAGACTCGTTAGAAGTATAGTGTGGAAGTCGACTTTAGAAGGAACCGGAAATCCAATCCTAATCAGAAATCAAGGGCTAAACCCCTACTCCTGTTCAAAAGACCGGGAATGAGTGTGAACCGGACTTTAATATGCTTATTCTTAAATTTAATTAAATTTTATTGCTGACAGTTTGATTGTATTTTATGACTGTGACTTCTACTATTTATAATAGTATTTTTGGCAGTTTATATGGTATATAAAAATAAAAATATTTTTCGTATTTATTATTTTTATTGTAATGGTTGGTAATATGCGTTTTAATTGAGCTATTATTAGATAAATGTCAAGTTAAACCGATGCGGTGATGTGGTGATTTATGGGAGTTGTTGGTTAAATTTTTAGTGGTGGGAGGGACGATGCCTATAAAAAATTTTATAATGGTTATTATAACACGCAGTACCCTTGAAGATTTCACGGTTTTTCATAATTTAATTTTCTGATGAGTCCTAATACTTAAGTTAATGTTTGAATAATCTCCTTGCGATTTTGAGATTAACAACTTTAACAAAATAATGCAATAAGAACCATAACTATAAATTCAGATCATTAATTAATGAAGTAAGAGGCTACAAATGAAAAATTAAAAACTGGTAAGGTTTTCCATTTCACTGAATCAGACGTTAAATACGTTATTGCCTCCTCCATTTTCTTTTTCCTTCTTACCTGATTTGTTTGTTTTCTCTAAACACAAACAGCGTCTCTGATATATTTTTTCTGTCGTCGCTCGCAATCGAAACAGAATGTTCCTTTATTTATCTGAGGAAATGTAAGGGCGTAACGTACGTGCCAACTAACTTACTAACTGACGGAGGAACAATATTTTAATATGGAGATTGTTGTTGAATGAATTTCAGCTGATTGTCGATCAATAGACAAGTAATTAGACACTTTCTTGTTAGATGAATCTTGATATGAATTTTTAACTGCATGTTTTCTCCAATTGAATAATATATGAATTAAGTTGATTGATAATGAAAAAAGATTCCAGTAAGAAAAAAATATTTGTTGTATAAAACTAACGATTTATTCTCTGGTCTTTTATCTTTTTGAATGCGATGGGTAAATTGTCGTCATTATATATTTTTCATTTCAACCATATGCGTTGTTTCTCTGTGATTTTGTCGATATAGTATACAGTAGGGTTAGTTAGAAACCGTCTGTGAGAAAAAGATCACCATGACGCAATTCACACCGTCAGAAATGTGGAAAACGGCATGCTGTACTGCGTGGCATTCGCTCCGGAAGCTCCAGTATGAACATTTCAGTATGTTTGGGTATCAGTCTGGGGTCAATGAAGAGAATTCGGAAAGATTTGGATGAGTTTAGGTAATTACGAAAATACGGCAGCTCGGAGAACTCACTCTGATCGTTCTGATAAGAAAAGAAATCCCGAATTTGTTGGTGAAGACCTCAGATTCAACACAGAGGCCTAAATCAGGTGCCTTTAGGAGGGAGTGCTGCCCTGGGTCAAAAGGGTGGCTGCTGAAAGACCCTGTGTCTAGCAAAAGAACTCTAAACCGTGCCACACGAAGAAGAGAACTTAGTGGTGGCTGTCAGACAATTTCTGCGACCACGTCACCCTTTACAACTGTTCATCTAACTCCCCAGACTGCAACCCCCTTGATTATGATGTGAGGACAATATTCGTCAGACAGAAATAAACAGCCTGCAAAGCTTCCTTCGACGACCTATCCTCGGCATCATGTGGAGAGACAAAGATTCAAAGTTGTGCCGGAGGAAGCAGACTCCTGGAGTATGTATTTTCTTCTTTGTCAACGTCGTTTTTAATGGCTGGATCATGTACAGAGTGGCCCGGAAGTCTTGTTAACTCTATATAATCTAATTTTCTAATTCAACACTCTGTGGAGTATCAGTGAGAGGTTTTCACATGAACGATACCAGACTATCCGTTAGTTGAAGGACGCCGTTCAGAGAGCCTTTGCAACAGTCAGCAAAGCACAACTTCGGAAAATATCACATTGGAGAAGACGACGCATCATTTTGTGTCAGGAAAAAGATGATGTTCATACAGAACTTCTCGGGGTGTGGCAGCATCAATGAAAGTGAATAAAGTGAATCCATTACATGTACTTTGTATTACTGGATTACTTGTTCTATTGTTTTAATTTTTTTTTTTTGTAGGGGTGACAAGACTTTCGGACCACATCGAATGAATGACTGTCGTATACCAAAATTCATCATGTACGATGGGATAGCAACGTGGCAACATGCGGTAGGCCGCCTTCTCTACGTTTCAAGGGCGTTTGCAAAAGGGACCTGAAACTCACAGGCATCGAATCTGGTAGCTGGGAACAATCGCCGCGTCTGAGGCCATATTATTCAAGGAGAAGTCATGAAGAGCGGGAAAAAGGCAAATGCAGCCGATGGAGATCAGAAGAGAGCAATCTCAGACCTTCATTCTACATTCCTGCTTCGTCTGTCTCACCTGCAGAAGAGAGTGTTATGCAAAGATTAAATTGATAAACCACTATATACACTGCTCGCAAAAGGACTCTGCCATTATCGGGCGAGTTAAATGGATGCCTACAGTAAGTTTATCTGAATCTTGATGTAAGGTTATATAAATTAAATAGACTTAGAAAGAGTGAGTTGTTCCAAGATTCCAAAATAGGAAAGCTCACTTGCTTTGAAAATCAATATTCGAAATCTCGACTTCTTACTCCAACTTGAAAGTTTGACTTTTATTTCGATTTGATTACCAACCTCTGGAACCAATGGTAAACACGCAAATATCCCAGCCTCAATCCATATCTCACATCTGTTGATATGGCTTCATAAAACATTACAGATCAGATACTTGAAGAATCACATATATTGCCTAAAATTTGCAAAGTTATTTGAAATCGGAAGTTGCAGAGAGACAATCGGTCACCGCCTCTTTACCATTATACATTAAAGCAAAGAAATCCCCAGGCAATTCACTTATTGATGACTTACATTTACAAAAAGCGTGACAGAAACTAGAAAGGCAAGATAACATTTGAACTTCGGCAGGCTAAGAATATGAAACTCGAAGAAAAAGTTGGGAAGAGAGAGGAAGCAAAATGGTGGGCATTGTAAGACAATGGAAAACGGCGGAGAAGGAGAAAGCGAGGGGATAAAAAGTTTCAAATCACGTAACGCTTGTTAGTTTTCCTGTGCACTAACTAGGAGACAAACAGGCACATGTTTCTTTTTACTTATGGAAATGAAATTGTATATTCATTGACCCATCAATTGAAATATTATTAAAGTGTAAGGTCTATCTATCTATCTATCTATCTATCTATCTATCTATCTATCTATCTATCTCAGGATTTCTCTTTCTCTTAGTCTCTTATCTCTTTAAGAGATAAACAACATTTCAAAAGATTTATCTTTCCGGCTTCAAGTTTCGCATATACACAACATGTCGGGGCCAGATAAATCTATCTGACCATACGCTATGACGGCAAGACTTGAAATCGGAAAAGTCTTTAGAAATTTTATTTATTTATTAACGACACACACACACACACACACACACACACACACACACACACACACACATATATATATATATATATATATATATATATATATATATTGAGCACATTAATGTAGAAAATGAAAAAAGTACAAGGGGAAGTCATTAGACTGAATAGATAGATAGATAGATAGATAGTGTTGTAACCTAAAAAGGTTACTGAATGAGGAATAATCAAAACGGAGGTTAGAAATAAAATGGTAATCTTCATAACATCAACAAAATACAATACTCGCCAGCGGCGTGAAGTTGGTAAACCATTGCTAGTGGTGGAGTATTTAGAATATTACCCTCACTTACGAGAGTGTCCCATGTATTTATGAAGACTGAGACATACCCATTAGTGTTCATAGGTACGGTATTTAACTGACAGACAGATAGATAGATAGATAGATAGATAGATAGATAGATAGATATTAAAAAACTATTATAAATATATATATATATATATATATATATATATATATATATATATATATGTGTGTGTGTGTGTTTGTGCGTATGTGTTCAATAAAACTGTTTTTACAGACAAACTTTATCATGTTCAGGAAAACTATCGTATTTAAAAAAAGGTGCTCAATACACAGTTAAAAATAGAGCTAGTCAATATCTAAAATATTAGAAATAGTAACTTTTTCCGCTACTCCATATATATATATATATATATATATATATATATATATATATATATATATATATATATATATATTACCGTAAGGTTCACTCTGTACAAATTTACGAGATTGCAGTGATCGGGAAAATCCTCAAAGGTGTCTGTTCCATAGGGCAGTGGTTCGTGGGAAGAAGCTGATGGAGTTGAATTTACTTCTTGCCAATAGAATATGGATGGAATGAGGGTCGTTTGTTACTATGTGAGTGGCATGGCGGGTTCAAGCCGTGATGGTCAGAGCTAGTGGAACCAGGGGATGCAGTTCGTACAAGCAATTTCCATGGTAGTAGCAATATAGCAGTGAGAGACTCGCCACATCAGGTTTGAGTGTGGAAAATAATTCTTCTCCAACAAGGACTCGGAGACTCTTTTGAATTCTATCAAGACTGGAAAGTGAGGTCCGGGCAGCTCCTGCTCAAATGTGACAAGAGTACCCCAACAATACGGCCTAATCTGGCTCTTATAACGGTAGAGGATAGAATGGGGAGTCAGGTACTTACTGGAACTGTACAGGGAAACGATCATTTTACCTTCATCTTTAGCGATTAGGAATTCCACGAGGGTATCATCGTTGAAATCACTGGTACGGAACGGGATCTGAAAGAGGAAGGAACGGGCGATCGTCAGAGTTCTTCACTGACAAATCAGTACTACATGCTTTCACAAGTTTTTTAAACCACTCTCATTCAGTTTGGGTCGTCAGAGTTCTGAACAGTACGGTAAAGTTTAGAATTACATCATCGTCTATTCAATAAGTTCATCATTTTTCTAACATAATATACTTTTATAATATTCCATTTTTTTGCAAATCTACTGATTGATATAGTCGAACAATAGACATATTAGTAGTGTTTATTTTATGAGTAAATCAGTCAACTGGCGCTACATAATCTTCCTAATATCTTAAGTCCATATACACTTGTCAGCCTTCAATAATTACACTATCAAAGCGATGTAAGTCTCTCTAGCTATTCACGCATTCGTCTTTTTTCTTCAGCCATTTATCTAAGTGTTCGAAGCAGTCAATCAATTCTGTACCGAATGCGTATTTACTAGCACATGTCACCCCGCCAGGTCTTATGCAGCGTTTTCTGCATTTGCATATATTTGAACTAAGAATAAGTACAAATATCAATGACCCTGCGATCAAATATCTTCAAGACAAATATCAATAATTCAGTCTGCAGCCAGTGGCTCATTGTATTATGTGCAGAAACTATGGTAAGCTATTTCAATTATTACGTCCCTGTGGTCACTCAGTATAATTCAACTAGTACATAACAGCCACGAGCTCAAAATTGCTTTCACAGACGTTCTGCGAAAGGTCAGAGTATGGCGTCTTTTCGCTGTACAGTTTCCTTATGAGAAATTATTTCAATTCCTAGATGTTGACCGTCCTAGGTATGATGATAAACTACATCCACGTCTTGGGTAAGACTATAAACTACATCTGACAGCAAGACCATTGATCAGTAGGTTTTGAGGAACATGGAACTACCGCTTAATTGTTAGTGTTTCCAGGTCCACCCTGCCCCGAGGTGGTAGCACCTGTTAGGGTTTCAGCTATGGGCTAATAGTTACCCCCCCACACCAAACTAGGGTCAAGACACTATGAAAGTGTAAAAATAGGTTTTAATACCAGAAAAAATTATTACCAGTAATACATTTTTGGAAAAAATCTTACCAGCGATACATTTCTGAAAAAAAAAAAAAAATTACCACTGAAGGAAAATTATTACCAGAAATAGATTTTTGAAGGAAAATATTACCAGAAATGGATTTTTTGAAGGAAGGAATATTACCAGAAATAGATTTTTGGAAAAAAAATATTACCAACAATGAAAATTTTGTCGGCATTAAATTACCCATTGAGGGTGATATGCCGTAAAACAAAACAAAGCCAAACCAAACTTATATTTTGAGGTATTCTATCAATTATCAAGTCATTCAGAAGATACACGGGTGACAGTGAACGGACGAACCTCGTTAAAGATATGCGATTATGTAACTTTAATTTTTTAAATTATAACAATATGCATACATTGGCCGGTTACTCGTTTCCGAGCACACCTGTCTGATGGGGCGGCTAATTACGTCCTACTGAAGGCGTCTGCTCAGACAGATCTGTATTTGTAAAACACCCACAGAACTCACTGGTTTATATTACAACTATGCTGAGCGTACCTAAGTTATAGTTTCTGGAAAAGAGCACATAATTTGGCGTGATCAACATTTTGAACCAGGCTAGTTCAGATGATGGCTTGTGTCTTGGCGATAACACAATCATCGAGTGCTTCTGATAAATTCTTGCATTACAGTCGGGCGAACCCGTGATAACATCAAGGAGTCAATTCCCCTGGCAAACCGACCATGGTGAGATTCGAACCCGAATCTCATGGTCGGAAAGCTTATGTTGTAACCATTCAACCATACGTTAATTCGCACCTGGCGTTATACTGGGGTTTTTGACAAATATTGGATCGTTTCTTGGCCTGTGGCTGAGATTCGATCAAGGCTTTGACTATCTTGGACTGGCTCCGGCCTGGACTTGCTAGGACAAGTCATGATTTTTTTTTAATAACTTATTTCTGAAATGTACGTGTTTTAATATGTTTTGAATATGCTATTAAAACACGTAAATTTCAGAAATAAGTTATTCCAAAAAAAATTTCTCTTGAAGATGGAACAAAGCTTACTTTAATTCAATTTAATTCAAATAATTATATTGAAGTTTTCGGCTCTTGTTTTGAAACATGAGAACTCTTATGTAGCGTGTTGAATCATATTTTTAAATAAATAATTATATATATATATATATATATATATATATATATATATATATATGAGTTAGAAATAACTTCTTACGGCTGATACCTCAGAAGTATTACTCATAGGGTGATATATTTAGTACGCTATACTCCGCAGAGAATATGAAAGAAATGAAAAAGAAGAAAGAAAAATGTAATTATTTCACAGTTTGATAACTTTCTAGCATGCATATTTCACTGTAGCGTAGTCATATATCTATTTCGAAATATATAATATCATACGAAACTAATACGCGGCAAAATTTATACATGAATAGATTGGTTTTGTGTCAGGCTAAATTAAAATAATATGCATATGACGTGCCCATCGGTTTTGTATAATCAAATAAAACCGACTATATATTCAGTCAGGTTTTCGTTCTTATAACAGAAAAAAAAAATTCCGTCAGCCACGTTAAAAATCAAAGTTAAGATATGAATTCCTAGGTGAATTCTTACAGAACATCAATATCTGAGGAACAAACAAGGAAAAGTGATTTATTATGATACTTCGTTTCGATTTTTTTTTTATTCTTTTATACACAGGAGATTTCGTTCAGAACAGTAAGACGATATTAAAACCAGCTAAAGATTAAAAAAATAATATCATAACTGCAGCGGCCAGTCATCACTTTCCAGTCTTGATAGAATACAAAACAGTCACCGCGTCTTTGTGGGTGACAAATTATTTTCCAACCAACAACCGTTCTCTCACAGACGAAACATCGCTAGCCTTTCACTGCTCTGTCGCTATTACCGTGGAAAGTACACAGACAAACTAAATTCCTTAGTTCCACCAGTTCTAACCTTCGGATCGGATGAAGGTGATGTATATGCACTAAAGCAAATCGAGTGAGTATTTGGAGGTGAGAGGATGATTCGAAGAAAAAGAAGAGTCGACTAGCGGTAAAGAAAGACATTTCTAGCTGGACAGCACAAGAGCGAGCCTTTAGATCACCTTTCCAGGCGGAATAATGACACGAAGTGAAAATAAGAAACGATTATCTTTGTTCGAAGTCTTTGTCTCTTTCCATTACTCAGTAACTATCTTGGATACTTTTAAAAAAAGATTTCTCTCCCTTGAAAATAAAAACGTATTGCGTTATGTATTTCTGAAGTCTAATCAAGAAGACAAGATCTTCGACTACCAAAAAAGATACGAAATAAAAAAAGGACAATAACCTCTATATTTCCTCTTGTAATACATATGCTAATAAATATCGTATTAATTAATGATGTATTATATCTAGTAATACATATGATAATTAACAAAGTCGAGCGATAGGAAGAATATGCTCGTAGCGCATCAGTCCGGAAAATGAGTTTGGTATGTCGATTTCAAATTACAGCTTATTCCATTGCGACTGCTTTTGCACAAAACCCTTGTAAAGTTACGGATTCATTTCTTCCTCTCCTAGCTAGGGATTAAATAGTAAGGTAAACTGCAATGTCTAGCGTTGGTTGGTAACCAGCCTAGCAGATTGACAATTCTGAATAAAAACCTGATTCGTTGTAAAAACAAAATTTCTACGAAAACAGTAGATGCAGCACCTACTGTTGTGAGACTGTGACCTTACACTACATAAAGGAATCTACAAGATTAACATAAAGCCGATAGGGGCTTGAACGTGTTACAGTCTATCAGAATTCAATCAGCTTTTCTTTTTGTCTTTTTTTTTTTTTACTTCTGTTCACACTGATGATGTGTAATGTAACTGATGTTTAACGTGTGATGTATCAATTGTCATGGACACCATGTCTCTCGCTCGAACCAGAGGGGTAGAGAAGAAATATCCATGACCTAATAACAATATCCTCTTTTTATGCGATCACCACTCATTTATCCGTTCATGTAAACTAATAAACTTATAAAAAAATAACCTAATACAACGACTGGCCCATCTCTGAACACTTGCTAGACAATAACACTGTGTAATTATAACACGTGATTTCTTGTTTATGTCTGGCACGACTTCACACTTCATCATAACAAAAGCTAGGCGTTCTCCCTAAATACTTTATAAAGCACAGAAGTAAATTTAAGACGAATAGTTTCTTACGTGTGATTTATTAGATTTCCCACGTCCCAATGGCGATGACAAGTCATCAAAATGGCGTGAGAATTACAATTTTACTCTTCAACAAGAAGGCTGATTTGTCAGTATCACACTATCCTCAGGCAAATTCAACTGAATGTATACACAAACACACATACTCGCATACACACACACACACACATACAAACTTTTATATATGTACACACACACACACACACACACACACACACACACACACACACACACACACACACATATATATATATATATATATGCATATTTAAACATATGTATGATCGTATTGAAATATGCATAGGCATATAAAAGCGGTATCCATACACACACACACACACACACACATATGTGTGTGTGTGTGTGTGTGTTTATTCTGAATAATTTTATGCAAATAGGCATAGGTATTCATATATATATATATATATATATATATATATATATATATAAAATGTACGTATGTATAGGATGAAATATAATTATAAGGTTTAATTATTATGGCTTAGTAAAGCTCAAATTTCTGTCTATAAGCATACGTATTCGGCGACCTTTCTCGATAATTCATTTCTGTTCCGAATCGTAAATTAACGTAATTAATGACAACATATTATATGTAATGGATTAAAATCGACAGATATTTTAATATATTTTCTGTTTACACATTATTTTTATGGTTACAACTTATTTGAGTAAATGCTCTGTTTCTAAATTAAACAGTATTAATTACACTTACCGGCCTGAATATTCAGAAGTCCTCTGTGCCAGGTTAAATGAAGTTTCTATATAGGATACAGGTTCGATTCCTGTCGGAGGATGCGTATTTTCTGAGAAATTTCTTGAATATTCAGGACGGTGAATGTAAGTTGTATTCATAAAACTAAGATATCAAAAGATATATATATATATATATATATATATATATATATATATATATATATATATATATATATATATATATATATAAATTACGGGGAATCTGATTGAACGGTTATTGTATAGATATATTTAATTTATAGAGGTACTATAGAAAGAGAAAAAACCTATCGTCCTGTATATATATATATTTCAGTTGAGATTTATATCGGACTCAATGAATTTATTCATTTATATGTTTATCAAATCCTCCTACTTATTATATGTATTTATTGTTGCTTGATCCGGCTTCTAATGCTCCAGTTGGCGCGGCTTGGTGATAGTAGTCGTGGCTCCAGGAGGCACAGTCTTATGGTTATATATTGAACTCAGGAGTAGTTCTGCCACGGAATATGTGAGTGAGTGGCGCTATGTGGGTCTGATATGATTCTCTTCGGTGTCGAGGCCCGGTTGGTACAGTTGGTATGTTGTCTGCTTGACAACCCAGCTGTCAGGGTTGCGCACTGCTGATGAGTCCCAATTATAGGACGAAACGGCCGTCCAGTGCTTCCTCTATTTTTCAGTTGAGATTTATATCGGACTCAATGAATTTATTCATTTATATGTTTATCAAATCCTCCTACTTATTTTATATATATATATATATATATATATATATATATATATATATATATATATATATATATATGGTTTAGTAATATAATAATGATAGTGTTACCAGTTTTACTAATTAACCTATAGTTGGGGAGAAGAGGTAGATTCATACCTTTGCCCGTAAGTGAATATAATAAGCCGAACGAGAATTTGAACTCGGTTCACCATTTGACAATTCTGAGCTTTTATCCATTACACCATCCACATATCCAAGCTTAAGGCATTCTTGTATTCCCAAGCGATAACCCATAGCACAGGAACTGATGTTTCAACGCGATGTGGCCGTAAGGCAGAAGAAATAGTCAGCCTCCTACAGGATGATCTCAGGAGTTCCGGCATTGTCATATCCGTCCACTGTTAGATGAAGTCTAATCGGCTCTTTGCTTTCTGACCCAGCGTGCATCCACCATCAAAAGTACCTTCCATAGAATTGCAGAGGCCGTTATGCCATGTGACGTGGTCAAACGAGGCCAATATACTGATTATGGGGTTATGCTGATGACATAGGTGTTCATTGTTGGGATGAGAATAATTTTTAGCAGAAAATTCTCCATCATGTGTTTCAAGAAATGAAACTCAAGGCAAATCTTTGCAAAACAGAAACACTGATCTGGAATCGAAAAGAAATCAGTAATGGCATCTACTCTGAATCCATCACAGATATACAGGATTTGAAATTAGTAAATACTAAACACTTCAGCTACCTTGATGTAAGGATCAGCTTTAAGAAATTAAGTATAGGAGAAAAAGAACTTGATGATAGAGTAATCTGTGCTATCTGTATTTTCGGTCAACACCAGAAATTGCCACGAAACCAAAACATCAACCTAAAAAAGACCCTAAGATGGAGACTTTCATATGGAAGCCAGGCATAGCGCTGAACCAGTTCAGAAATATTTAAACTCTCAGCTACATACAACCGCTTTCTAAGGTCAATTGTTAAAAAGGCTTTGGGTGCGTGAAGCCGGAGGGTTTTGGCAAAGATCAGACCTCTTTGAATATTGTGGACAGGCGTTACGGAATCACAAATAAAGGACAGTACCGAGTAAGAAAAACCACATCACTTGAAGACTACCAACAGCGGCAACAACTAAACGGGATAACACATGTAACATCGAAGAAAAACTAATGACATAATCAAAATGTTAACATTGCACACCACTTCAAAAGGAAGATACGGAAGGAAAACCCCATAAATATTGGAAAGATACAAATATAAATAATACTAGAAACCTATTTTCTGTTGTGGTAGGATCCACCTAATTTGCATAGTGGAGTACCGACCATATAAATATGGTTGGTACCGGGAAGAGAGGGGGAGGAATCAAGAGATTCAATCCAGAGACTCTGCCCGACTGCGACTAAGTCAACACATTCTCCAGGAACGGTCTTCCCAAGAATATACAAAATACTATATGTAAATATTGTGTACACTTTCTTGTTTCAATACATTTTGTTCTAAGTACATTTTGTGTTGCATTATTATTCCATGCATTAGTCAAGTTTCAACATTTTCCTAAAAAGCTTTTATGAATTTCAACGGAAAAAGAGTATTAGCTGCTCGGTCAATGAATGCCAAATGTGACCTTGTAAGGAAACAATTAATATTAACATTAACATATATGTATATGTATGTGTGTTTGTCTGTGTGTGCGTGTGTATGTACGCGCGTGTGCGTAATTACAATCTCAGAAATTAGTCTGTATGGTTGTCTGGACAGTGTTAAATCGTTAGTCAGATAAAAGTTTCTTTGATGGATTAAAATTTTAGTGTAGGATATGGGGAGGATTAAGTTGACAAGCGAAAATCCGATCATAATCACCAGAATTGAGCAAAATCGTTATTGTCTCACTCTTTCACTTCATCTCTCTCCCTCACTATCTCTCTCTGTCACTCTACCAAACACACACACACACACACACGAATCCACAGATGCAAACAAATAGATACACATAGATAAGTGTAAATACGCAGATAGATAATGAACAGACTGGAAGAGATAGATAGATAGATAGATAGATAGATAGATAGATAATGAAGAAACTGAGATAGATAGAGAGATAGATAGATAATGAACAAATAGATAGATAGATAGATAGATAGATAGATAGATAGATAGATAATGAACAAACTGAACAAACTGAAATACATAGATAGATAGATAGATAGATAGATAAATAATGAACAAACTGAAATAGATAGATAGATAGATAGATAGATAGATAATGAACAAACTGAGATAGATAGATAGATAAATAGATAGATAGATAGATAGATAGATAGATAATAAACAAACTGGAAGAGATAGATAGATAGATAGATAATGAACAAACTGAGATAGATCGATAGATAGATTGATAGATAGATAGATAATAAAGAAACTTGGATAGATAGATAGATAGATAGATAGATAGATAGATAGATAATGAACAAACTGAGATAGATAGATAGATAGATAGATAGATAGATAGATAGATAGATAGATAAAGAAACTGGGATAGATATATAGATAATGAACAAACTGGGATAGATAGATAGATAGATAGATAGATAGATAGATAGATAATGAACAAACTGAAATAGATAGATAGATAGATAATGAATAAACTGGTATAGATAGATAGATAGATAGATCGATCGATAGATAGATAGATAATGAACTGTTGTGGTAGGATCCACCTAATTTGCATAGTGGAGTACCGACCATATAAATATGGTTGGTACCGGGAAGAGAGGGAGGAATCAAGAGATTCAACCAGAGACTCTGCCCGACTGCGACTAAGTCAACACATTCTCCAGGAACGGTCTTACCAGGAATATACAAAAAGACTATATGTAATTATTGTATACACTTTCTTGTTTCAATACATTTTGTTCTAAGTACATTTTGTGTTGCATTATTATTCCAGGCATTAGTCAAGTTTCAACATGAACAAACTGAGATAGATAGATAGATAGATAGATAATGAACAAACTGAGATAGATAGATACATAGATAGATAGATAGATAGATAGATAGATAGATAATGAAGAAACTGGGATTTATAGATAGATAGATAGATAGGTAGGTAGCACTGTAGAATAGAGTTCATTGATTAGATGCACAGATAAAGTCCATTTATGGACAGCTGCAATTTATATTTCGATTGTGCGACGAAACAGCTTCCTTCGCTAATCTGTCTCGTAGGCATCTCTTTGTATCTGATTAATTGCGCCTACAATGCGTGAGTCTTTGTGATATAGAGAACGGCCGCAATGGCAAGTAAGAATTGATCTTGCTTATGGGAAAAAGTGACATTCTGTCTTCTCCAAGACAAAGGCTTTAGTCACTTAATCTTGGTTTAAAATTGATTCCCTACTCCTTTTCGTTAGATATTTCAGCTTGAAATTCTCTTGTCAAACGAGATATACCTTGACCATCGAGGCGAATGAAAGCAGTCCTTGAAAGTTATTTCGCTTTCGTCGATCGACGTTTGTCCTTGGAGAGAGATCCAGTAAAGGACTAGTTTAAGGATTGGGCATTAGAAAAATGGTATGAACAGAGGAAATAAATCAGGGCAAGTGGTGCGAAGGCGGAACTGAATAAGCCACAAGATGCAACGGGTTTATATGCAAATATTCAAAGCGCACATCTAGAATGTGCTTACCCGGTTGAAAGTTATATTCTGCATATAGAAACACGTTGACGTACCATAGGATTATACAAGAGTGCACAATCGGAGATAAACTGAATTGAAATCACACACCGGTACATACATCTTTACGCGCCATGCTACTTCTGCGAAACCGGATCACGCTCACTTCCTACGTATTCCAAATGTAAGAAGAATAATCCACTCAGACTCCCGCGCGGATGCTTCCCTGAACAATACCATCTTGAGCCTCTTCAAGGTTAAATCACTATCCACGCGTCTTATTCTCGTAATTTTCATTTCTATCTACCTTGCCATATATTCATATTACACATCATTCAATAATAACCTACCCAGTGCAGCGATCAGATAGATAGACAAATAGATAGATTTGAACAGACTATGACACAGGATGATAGATAGACAGATAGATTTGAACAGGCTATTACACAGTATGATAGATAGACATAGATTGATTTGAACAGACTACGACACAGGATGATAGATAGACAAATAGATTTGAACAGAGTATGACATAATATAATAGATAGACAAATAGATATACATGAACAAACTGTGAAATAGACAGATAGACAAATTGATACATATAAAAATACTGAGAGATTGATATAAACAGTCTGTGAAATAGAGATGAAATGATTAATGATGAAATCTGAAGAAAAAAAAAACCGGCAAGCCAAGGTCAATCATTATCTATCATTTTTATTCTCATAATCTACACTTCTTATCACATAACTCATTACTATTTTATCAGTAACTTTCTGTTTTGAATAGCTCCGGAGATTTGTATTGAGTTAGTTTTAGTATCAAAATATGCATACGCACATTCAAAGAAGGCAATAAAACCACTAAGACTCAAGGGATTACTGAGTGTGAAAGTATATGAAAAAAAAAAACAATTAAAGAAAAGAAATTAAGGAGACGGAAGATAGTTCCACAAGCAAAAAGTGCGAGAGAAGAAACTGTTAGCATAGAACTTACGGTTACATCTAGCGATTTCAACTATAAAATAACGAGATCTAGCTGACTTTCTAGTCGGGCGTTTAAAGTCGAGGTACCCAAGAAGAAAGTTCACCAGAAAAATTACTATGAAAATATTTATCGAAAAGACACAGGGAAGCGACGTTATAGCGGCAGGAAAATGACTGAAGCTGATATGGCATGTCAGGACCAGTAAGATTGCAGATTCTTTGGATTTCATCAAGAATCTCTAAATACATAGCAGACGCCCCAGATCAGATGTAAATGCAATATTCAAAGCATGGACAAATTGTAGACTTTTAAATATGTAAGACAGATTCTTACATGCAGATTAAACATAGTAAATAGTTATACAAATGTACAATTAAAGAACAAAAAAATTAATTTATGTACTATATGTGTTATGTTTGCATGTGCCGTCGACATATGTTAATTTGCCAGAAATAGTTTCTAATCTATGTACACTGACTTACGCATATTTTGGTTCAAGCCAACTTATAATTTTTCTTAGCTAATTTTGAGATGGTGAGTTCAAAGACCAAGTTCGTTTTTACTGGTTAGCTCCACATTGTACCGTACACAACTCTATTATTAAAAATTAACATTTATAGCCAAATTGTCCGTCATGTTCAGTTTAATTCTGAATGCCTCTTGCAAAATAAGATGAATGTTATTAAATTGCCCATTGCTCAACATCCTGGTTTGTATATTATGATAATGCCTGGTGATAATGACAATGCAATTGAATTGTTCTAAGTTATGGGCTAAAACATTATACTGTCTATGGATATAATGTACTAGCAGTAGAGCCTGGCGTTGCCCGGGGATGTAACAGTAAGAGATAGATCAAGTATCGACCATCATAAAGACTGAAAAATAAAATTGACAAAGATTATTGTTTAAGGTTGACGGACACGCATGTCTTAATTAGTTTTTTTTTTTTTTTTTTTACGAATTGGTCAAACCCAAACTCAAACAAAAACATTGTTTTCAATCGTTATGGATCTAACGATTGAATAGAATTTTATTAAAAACAATTGTCTTGTAAATGAAATTTTTAAAGTATTCTGAATGTAAAAATAAAGAAAAAAGTGTGCAAGACAATAAGAAACACTACCTGCCAAAAAAAAAGTGAAGTTTTGTTGAAATCGGTTGAAAAATGTAGGAAATCCGATCCTATATATAAACGAACACACACACACACACACACACACACACAACCTGGGTTTTATAATAAGTATAACTCGATACGAGTTGTCCCCCTTTCATTCTCGTGATACCTCTTAATCGTGTTTTCAAATTGATTTCGTGCAAAAACAATTGTTTTTCCAGTATTTGGCGTTGTCAGAACCACCGCAAGATAATTTTACGTAGTCCTGTGAAGTTTTGTTGAAATCGGTTGAAAAATGTAGGGAATCCGATTCAATATATAAACGTACACACACACACACACACACACACACACACACACACACACACAAACAAACAAACAAACAAACAAACAAACCATCTGCATTTTATAATAAGTAAGATGATGAATTGTATAATTGGTCTTATTTATGGATGTAAATATTACAAAGTTTTTTTGGGGGGATATAATACCTGATGATATTGACGGTATATCTAAACAAAAGAAGAATGACTGACACTACTGCTGGAACTTAAAACAAAACAAGGGTTTTTGAAAAATCATTTGTTTCCTGTTGAGGAGTGGTTTTCCGGCTCCTTCTAAAGTCTTCTCATTCTCTTTCACTCCCACTAGCATCTTGTCTTTTAGTGGCATTTTCGCCTTTCCAGAGGGGAATTGCTTAAAAAAATGAAAGTTCTTGCCGCGACTATCAACTGTTTTCAGTATTCAAATTTTAATCGCCTATTGTGTTATATTTCTTCCGTATTTCAGAAGTTGTGTTTTATTTCATACTAAGCTTAAGTTTCAAAAGGGCAATTATTTTCCTTCACATTTACAATTATCTAACCAAATCAGGGCCAATTTTTATGCAAGATACAATATTCTGGAGTAGGAAAAGTAAAGCCAATGTTTGAAAATGGATGTTAAATTTTGGATTCAGCAAAAATTATTTAAAATTAGCCAAAAACTTCCCATTCACCATTTAAAAAAGTTGGCGTTATCGGTTATGCTCCGGGCATTATATGCCTCAAAAGTTAAATCTTTGTAGCCAAATTAAGATTTTGCTTATCGGATGTTAGAAGCATGTTTTATCTGTTTGATACTGATATTTACTTTTATTCGGGTCAAGTTGTAGCAGACTAGAACAATTTATACCCACTTGTAAGACTGTCGCGATACAGTAGCAATATCTCTGTTTTGCACGCATTTAGTTTAATGCCACATTAATCTAAGTTTAATCAAAAGCCATTTAAATAATATTGCAAGCATACGCATTTAGGCTGAGACAGAAAAGCTACTAAATCGAAAGAAGAAAAACTGCTAAATCGTCAATTAATTCCTCAGCAAGTGAAGATGTATTAAATCGATTTCCGCTTCCGGTCTGATACCGAACACTAAATCACATCGAATTTAGTCGGCGTTTTCAATTAACCGCCATATTTGCTGCTAATATGTTTGTCGACATACATCGTATATTTCCGGATGTTTTTTCGATAAATCTGTGAATATATATTTATGGGTTATGGAACTATTCGATGTTTATATCCTTTTGTTTGATTTTTGACAGAAATACACATACACACATCACGTTATATCTATTATATATATATATATATATATATATATATATATATATATATATGTGTGTGTGTGTGTGTGTGTGTGTGTGTGTGTGTGTGTGTGTGTGTGTGTGTATAATAAACAAATAAATCCAAAATTATCTCATATGGGGAATAGCCTGTTTCGGTGTCGAATGAGTTCATGTCTATAAAGTTAGATGAAGCAGGAAGTAGAATTTCACCATGAAAGATAACAAAATACAACTTGCCGAAAACATCTAATATAGAATTTATACATTTCAATGTTTCAGTCAGACGAAAGGCACGAGTCAATTGTCAGAAGAGAATTTGTTTTTATGTCGACATTTGAATCAGAGGAATGAATTAGTGTTAAATTATTGATTTGTATTTTACGACTTAGAAAACCTTTTGCATGTTATTTCAAGCCAGAATTTTTTTTAGATTGTAATAATTTATGGAAGATAATAATAGTTTACTGATACAAGTCATACTAAATGACCGATAGTTGGTGGAGAAGAATGGATTCATGCCTTTCCTAAGGGTATTTGCGCATAAGTCAATAAAAAGAATCCAAGTGGAACACGGCTTACGACAATATCGTGTTGAAATATCGTTGAAATATCGTGTTTCAATGTGGTATGGTCGTAAGCCTAAATATTTATAATAACTTGTATGGTTCTGTAGGCAAAAGTACACTTTCGAGTTGGCTTTCTTTGCCGTAGTATCGTAGATCTTACTGCTAGGATGTGTAGAGGTAGGGGCCTAATAGTTAAGATTGTGGCAAATGGAATCAACGACTCCGTATGAAGTAGTGTGTGCTCTTTTCTATACTTGAGAAAATCCTAACTCTACCCGTCTGAATAAGCCCATTGCTGGTACTATTATTTTGCAACCATTTCACTCCATGAAAGACGATAAGGACACTGACGTTATTAAGAGTGAATGAAGATGAGGAAACATTAGTGAAAAGTTGTTGATGTTTGTTTAACGGTATACCAACGCTTTATAGGTCATTTAATGCCGACATTTAATTTTCTAGGGAGCCTTGAAGTAATAAAATATGATATGCTATTCTATTTTCACAGTTGAATACATGGTAAATGATACTCAGCTTTTGTGTATATACATATTTGTGTGGATATAATTACAAGAAGGTGGTGATATGTGTGTTTTGTATTGTAGTTTGGTTGAATTATGTTTTGGAATTCAGTTTGATTTAAGAAATTGTAGGATATTATATGACTTAATGTAGGAAAGTTCTTTCATGTTGGTTGTTTGGTTGATTTTGTTTATCGACATATCAACCTCCATGGGTCATTCAATGCCGA